AATCACAAAATTTAGCTCAGGTGTTCAAAGTTACCGTTATCATAGTATCATAGTACCGCATGATTAGCGCCCGGCTTCTTATGGGTCTATTTTCACTTGGTGTGCATTTAACAAGTATTTCTCCTCACATCTTAAAGATATTAGTCCAAGGTTTAATTTAAGGGCTCGGAAATAATATTACTTGATCCGTTCATTTGTGAGAAAATTTTTATTTGGGCCCGGAATGGGTTCAGCCAAATTCCGGTTTTCCGCGGCTTGATAATTTTTCATGCCCTTTTTGACCGCTCCTGTCCGCTTTTTTCACCGCTAGGGTCAATGGATCATTTTATCGACCAGTTCAAAGATCTTAACCAAATTCATCGACAAAATTAAGGAAATAAATGGCAAAATTTTAGACTCAAAATAATAAAGCCGAAAAAATTTTTTGAGATATTTATGTGCAATCTAAGCGAATTTTAGCACATTTTATCAGTTTCGAATTCCTTGAAATCCAAAATAATTTGTGAAGAAGTTTTTCATTATTTTAATGAATAAAAAAATATTTTTTGCTTTCTCAACGATTAAATTCTTACGTATGTATTTAATGTAAATTAGATGATCTTAATCTATATTTTTTTCGGGGGGACATTAACATTACTTGTCCCCCCGGCATATTTTCTAGGGGACATTGTCCCCCTGTCCCCCTGCTTCCGCCGCCACTGATAGAGTCTCCAGCAGGGTAAAATTTGTCCAAAATAGCCTACATGACATTTCTACTCCTTTTTTAAAGGTTTGGCCAGATCCTTGGGGTTGTATAAAAAACATATGGGAAATTAGGAAAAGCCGTCTTTAAATGCTGAAAATGTCTTTGGAAATGGAGATAATCCCTGGAGTTACACTTATTAATTATGTATTTTTATCCGACATTTTATGAAGTAGAGCTGTCCATTGTCGAAGGATAGCCTTATCAGAGGGCCTTTACAATAATTCCGACTAAATGAGCTTAACTCCGCATACTTATATTTATGTATTTTACCACTCAAGTAACTTAACTATACTCCCAAATTTTTAAAGCATGACTTAAACCTGATATCGTTGCAAATGCAGCATAGCAGGCTTGAAGGTAATTTTCTGTATGCGTGCAGAAGACCACGTCTCCTTAGCATTCCACTCTGAATATATTTCAGATATTGTTTTATTCGTTAATCAAGTAATCCTATAAATAATGGATTTAGGTATACATACATATACCTTTTTTAGCAAGCATTTTGTAAAATACCAGGCATTACATTCGTGTAGACTTACATGTACGTTTGAGTAAAGTAAGGTACATGTTATAAAATGGGACACAATTTAACATTTACTAAATTGCTGCTTAGGCTTACAGGTGAACAGTTACATATACATATTGGGATATCGATCTTTTGATTCTTTGACGTTCGTGACATTTTATATTTTTATAAGAATGAGGTAACAATGAATGCATGAACGAGTGTGGAGATGATTTTTATAGGTTGTCAATGTATGTACAAGCTCTTCTAGGAGCTGAATTTGCCCCAATTTGAATTCGCTCAGTGGCTGATTTTTGGCTCTTATGGGAGAACTTTGAAAATTCCTCGAATTTATTTTTTTCAAAAATTCATAACTTTCTTCAAAAAGAAATCGTAGAGAATTGAACAAGACATCGATTTCGAGGCTTTCGAGGCTTCGAGAATGATATACAAAAGAAATTGATATTTTGAAATCTACAAGTTATAGGGGTTTGCATTATTAATATTTGAGCCTCACTCACTAGGGGCCTACATATCTAAAATTATGAAATGAATTTATAGGTAGAGAAATAACAGCTAATTTCTTTAATGTATATCGTTTACATTTAAGTATATCGACGAGGTCCAGAATATTCTACACTAAAATAATGTAGAACATTACACTCTAGGACAGAATAAGTATGCCAGTGATGATCTTACCTCTCGTTATGTGTCACTACCCAAAGTGAACACGCAAGCTGAACGATCCACTCAAGTAAATTAAGTAGTTACATATATAAAATTTCTACCGGTAAGAAACTATGAAGTTTTTTCTACTATAAAAAACTAACTACCTTAAATAAAATCCTACTCGTCTACACGTAGGTTGTCGTAGCAGCAGTACCACCTTATAGATATTTTACCGCAGCCTAGGAAAACCAATATTTCCATAAATATCGTTCGAAAACAGTTCAAAATGATATTTCAATTTTTTCTCATCGTTTTGCTAACAGTTACTCTCAATTCGACCGCATATTCTCCACGAGGGACTAAAGGCTGCACTATAGGGAGGGAACCATCAGGGCGCTGTTGGCGACACTGCAAGGGAAATTCAGGCGACTGGTGCTACACCGGATTCGGTTGCAGTCGTCGACGCTCCCAATGTTTCGAGAAGTACACTTGCGACACCTTGATAGGTTGCCGAGGGGCTTCACAAGGTTGTGTGTTGGACTGCACCGCAAATCAATACAATCCTCAAGGCACTTATGGTCATTCTAAGGCTTGGGACCCGCCTCGATGCTGGCGATACTGTCTCGGAAACAGTGGCACTTGGTGTTACACAACTTCCAGTTGGGAGGAAAATGACTGTCCAACTTCCAATACTTGTGGAAATTTCCACTGTACTGCTTGTTTGATACGAATAGGTTGCGTCACAGATTACACTTCAGCCATAACTATCCACCTTAAAAATACTCCGAATCCGTTAAGATATGAAGAACAGAGTAACCCAGAAATCCCGGTAAGTGATGCCTACCAGTGCAACGTTGTCGTTGAGGTTTTCCAAGAAATGGAACAAGTCGCCCACTATTGGATAGCAACACAGCAAACCAAATCCCACTCAAACTTCGTACCTTGGAACCTTTTTGCGTTACCGTTTCCATCCACCCAAAAACTCCCTCTTTCCCGAGAAGTCCACAGGTTGTCCAATTATTGCACATTTTTATTTATTTTCCGCAAATATTACACTCCTTATTCCGAACTCCTTTATGGTTTCGAAGAGTACTCGTACTCACGTAGTGTTACGATCATTTTAATCACGGAAAGGCAACGGAGACTAGAAAGTTTAAAAACATGGGTCAACCCTCCCGCCCAAATATACATTCATTTCTTAGACAAGATCACTTTAGAATATCACAAAACCACGCATAGCTACAACTTACGACCTAACATTTGGACAAACCTGTACGATCCTAAAAACCTAATGAAAATCGACTTTTCCCAACTCCAAATCGCATATGCAACCACGTACGCTGTCTGGGACAATGTATGTCCTAAAATTGACAAATTTTCCCACAAATATAACCTACCGTACACCGCTAAGCGTTTAGAACATTGTACTTTAGAAAAGTACTTTAACTTTTTATTGTTTTGGATTTCACTAAAATCGAAAATACGAGACAAAAAATACGCATATATCCCCACAATTCTCGGAAAGACGAAATTAACGAGCAACCATGAGGCGGACGACATTACCGGAATTGTTTTCGGCGGGCAATATCACAGTGGGATAATTTACTGTAGACGGCATTCAATATTTAAAACCAAAAGTGCCAAAATGTCAATCTGGCTGTCTCCATTTGATTTGCTGATGTGGATTTTCCTATTCGTATTACTCCCGCTACAATCCCTAAATAGTTTGTCGCTGAATACACCGCCCAGAAATCTTGTAGATATCTAAACTTACCAAATGTATGTCCTGATTTCCATCCTCTTTCGGAACGGGGTGAGGTCTTATACCGAGCGGTTTCTCTTATTTGGTCTGCTCACAATGCAAGTCTTTTACGTGTACAACTCAGATCGGGTTGGGACAAATTTTATTTTGTTCACCACAAAAAATAAGTATGCCCGTATTTTTTCATTTTCATAATGCGCCAATTTGAGCGCGAGGCGCGAATTCTAAATCATTTTTCAGCCAAAACCTCGCTTTTTAAAAATTCTGTAAATTTTCTAATTTTAGCGCGAATTCAAAAATTCGAAAACATGTCTCTTTAGAATGACGTACTTGACTTGTAAAAAATCCACATGCATTATTTTTTGAAAAATTAAAAATTTGAAAGAGATTATAATTTGAACGAATTTCAAAAACTGGCAAAAAATTTTGAAATTCAAATTTCGAGACAATTGGATTTTGCATAAGTCAGGTAAATCATTCTGAAGAGACATGTTTTCGAATTTTTGGATTCGCGCGAGAATTCGAAAATTTACAGAATTTTTAAAAACCCAGGTTTTGGCTGGAAAACAGTTTAAAATTCGCGCTAAGCGCTCAAATTGGCGCACCATGAAAAGTGAAAAAATACGGGTATGCTTATTTTTTGTGGTGAACAAAATAAAATTGGTCCCAACCAGATCTGAGTTGTACACGTAAAAGACTTGCATTGTAAGAAATTCATACAAGTTACTATGTCAAGGTTACTAAATTTTATGTAAAAACTAGCTACATAATTATTTAATGTCAGTGGCTCCACCCCACTCGAATTTAAGATAACATTCTCAGAATGTTACTGAACGGCGCAGAATGTCATTCTGCGCCGTTTAATACTAATAAATTTTTCAATTACGCTATCTACATCCACAGGGTAATTACGGTGAACATAAAGGACGGCCAAGCTCGTTAATCTCTCCTCGCTTACTGTGTTCCGAAGGTAATTTTTAAGCTGCCGAAGAGTTGAGAAGGAGCGTTCAGATGAACATGATGTGACCGGCAAAGAGGCTAGTACTTTCAGAAAGTAGTGTATATTAGGAAAAAATGTATGATCACATTTGTCAAGTGCTTCAAGGGCATTCTTCGGTTTCTCGTGGATTTCCACCCCGTTCCATTTTGTTTGCCACAACTTGATTTCTGACTTGACCACTTCTTCTCCGTCTGTCATTTGATCATGAAGAAAGTGGTACAGCTCACTTCCGAAATTTCTGGAAGTTATGTAGCTTGGAACTACGCTTTGCAATTGGAGAAGTATATTTTTGTGCTCTCGAAATCTCAGCGTGATAGAATCAATCACACTCCAGAAATGGGTCAAAAATTGTTGTACGGTAATACGTTTCAGCGTCCATTGTGTTTCCAGGATCTTGTGGATTTTTCTTTAACTTAATCTTGGCTGACCTGGGAAGATCAACTGGGACGGACTGATTTGTGCAAGTTGTCGCAGCAACCTTCCAAATTTGCTCGACAGCGAATTCGGTTGTCGAATTTAGTTGGATGTCCGTTAATAGTACCAAGATATTTTCCGCCATTTCAAGGCATGCTAGTAAAACCAGGTCGGGACTCTGGAGCTGTCGAGAGAAGGAAATGGTGATGGAGAGGACCTTTTCAATCACGTACATTGATACAACGAATCGTATCGTTGTGATGCAGATTAATAGTTGGTGGGCTTTGCTTGATGTGTTGGAATCTGCATCGATTTCCAATATTTCCAGAAGGTCAACTATTGCGTCATAAAGTTCCACAAATCGTAGAACTGACGAGTGCCTCTCAACAAATCGAGTTTCACAAAACGAAATTAGTTTGTCCCGTTGGTAGTGTGTCGGATTTTCTGCTGTAATATTTTTTAGAGTGGAGGTTCGTTTCGGCGAAGCCCGAATAAATTTTATTACCTCGTTGAGTGACTGGAAAGTGTTTCGTATATCCGGAATCTTACAGGCGTCGGTAAGGGCAAGGTTAAAGCTATGACTGCTACAGTGTACGTATAAGGCCTTGGGACTAATTAACTCCTTAACCTTGGCTTGAACTCCCTTAACACTTCCTTTCATTACGCTACACCCGTCGTACCCTTGCCCGTGCAAATACTTAGTTTCGATCCCTAACTTTTGCAACTCTTCTTTTATCTTGATTGCGATTGACTCGCCCGTACCGCTCTCTACCGGTGAAAAAGTAAGGTTTCCTTGATGATGTGGCGATTTTCATTACAGGTCACATATCTTGTGCATAACGACATGTGTTGGATACCAGCCACGTCTGTAGTCTCATCCGCAATTATGCTGAAACACTTCGCCGAGTTAATTTCTTTGACTATTGTTTCTTGAATCTGACGGCTTGACAAATTCAAAATTTCGTTCTGGATGTCGGGGCTCAAGTAGGTTGCATTTTGAGGTGACGTCTCAATGTGGGTTTTCAGATTTCCGTCTCCGCTTTCAATCCGCATACGTAAAAGCGCACGGAAATTTCCATCATTTTCGTCGGGTTGCTTCAGCGATAGTCTTCCGCTGTCTTTGTGTCCTCTTAGAGCCAATCCTTGTCTGCCGCAAACTAGAAGGGTCTTAATTATGGGATCTAAAATTAATTTTCCCCTTTGCAATTCCTCTTCGGCAGCATTGTTAAGACTTGCGGTAATGGGAAGTTTGTGCCCCTCTTGAATTTTCAAAAAATTTTCAGCAGCCAGCGAGCTTGCGAGGTGATAATCGAGTCTTTCATGCTTCCTAAAGTTTTCCAATGCATTTTTCCATTTTCGATACGGCTCAGCAACGAGTTTCCCAAGAGCTTGTCCTCCACTTGCACCAGAGCTCGATTTCGTTGCAAACAGGAAGCAATATCGACAAAATGCGCCGTCGAGTAGTCCAGAGTACGATAGCCAAGAGAATTGTTGCAGCCAGGATAATTGGAATTTTCTTGATCCACCTTCCTCCACAGGAAACGCAAATGATGAATCTAACAAATAGTTACAATTATCATATTTCGACATATGCTGGGTTAATTCACAAATAGGAGCCAATTCAAATTTTGCATTAGTATAGTAAAACACAGCAAATATATAATTGAATTTTTAACATAAATTACCAGGAATCCAAGCTGAGACCAAAATATCGTGACAAGTTTCGGCATTCGGATGACGATCAATAAAATTTCCAATGTCTAACATTCCGCTTGAGCATCCTAAAGAAATTTAGTCAATAGTTTTCGGTTTGACAGGTTGCATTAAATTTGTGGAGATAAGATTTATAGGAAAATTTTTCCAAGTTGCGCAAACTTCAATCTTGGAGCATTTTTGGACTCTATTTGGATTTTTGGAAAATAAATTTGGGTTGGAATAGTACAAGTTTCAAATAAATTCAATATTTTAGATATTTTTAAACCAAACGGTTAATGAGTCGTAAACAAGTTGTTAAGACAAGGTTGCAAAAAATTAAAAATGGCAATATTTTTGTATTTATTTGGAACTTGCACTATTCATACTCAAATTTATCTTGAGCTTCGAGAATGCTTAAAAATTAAATTTGGCACAAATTGGAGACTATTTACAGTAAATTTTAGGCCATCTCATCTTGAACTCAGTTACAACTCACCTGCAACACTATGTACTTGAAACTTACCCCTTGACCTTTCACCTTCATCGGATGCCAGAGTGTCATCTATTTTGTTTTCCACCTGAGGGTTCAAGACCACTGCATGATTTTCATCGGCCCGTACTGAATCCACGTCACTTTTCGGTTTTTTTGTTAGAAAATCGTCCAAACTTGTTTGCCTTTTCTTCATTTTGTCAGTTGGCAAATTTATTTCTAACGCAAGTTATGTATCGTAGTCAAAGATACTATTGCAAAATAATGCGGATGAAAACATGACTTGGCCAGTCTTTATGATCACCCCGCACGCAATCGGGGGAGACAAGAGATGAGACATTACACAAAACGCTAACAAGCTAAAACGGGAGAGAAATTTTGAACTGCATTGAAATTTTGCAAGGAATTTGAAGTAATTGTTGGATTTCATGAGAATATTTTATTGCCCCGTTTTGGTATAAAAATAGTATCGGAGCAGCCATCTAGTTTGTAGTTTGTACATTAATGTTTTGCGTACGTGATCAAGAAAACGTACATTGTTTTATAAAAGCAGAAGTTTTTTAGTCTGCTCAGTTTTTTTTATTTTTTCTCGTTTAGCTTCCTTTGAGCACACACACATAATTTTTAAGGTATGATTATTTCTCTGTTTGAAATTAATTAGTGAGAAATAAAATATTAAAGGTGTATCATTGGAAGAGTTCGAGAGTCATCATTTCCTGCATTCAATTTAATTAAATACGCCACGGAACTGCGACTGGCCTGATCAGTATTTATTAGAGAATAGCTTTCACCGGGTAGGCGACTGACTCATTCTACATTTTGTGGCGACCTTGCCAGGATCAGTCGAGTTAAAGTGGTTTAAGTGAGTGTAAGTGGAACTGGTGACCGTGTTAGTGAAAAGAGGAAGTGTGCGATCGGGAGGAATCAATTGTCTGCTGTTGGATCCATAAGTTCGTGTGACGGATTCAAATTAAGGAGTGGATTTGATCTAGTTCCGGAGCCGTTCCAGTTCATCGACCAGTTGTAACTGCATTTTAGCGGTGTTGCACCCGAAGTGCAACATTCCGAGGTCGATATTGTCCAATAACAGTCGTTAGAGGATATTAAGTAATTGTTTGTTTTGTTGGATTTCTAATTTTCCGGTACGAGCTGTCTGACGAACGAGAGATTCCACGGACTAGCGGCCGGGAGAAGAAGGAACCAAGGAAGTACGACCCGTGCGTGACGACAAAGAAGAGGGTGCAAATAGCAGCGCCACAGGAAGAAGAATCGGACGTCGAGTCGATAGAGGACAATGCAGCGTCCAACCAAGAAGCAGGTGCGGTGGTGAAAAGTCCTTCACTTCTCTCAAAGATGTTGGCATTCTCACCGTTCAGAGGAAAAGTGGCTTCGTCAACTCGGTCATCTTTCAAGCGAAGACGAGCTCAGGCGGAAGCACAAGCAAAAACGAAGAAGAAGGATATTCAGAGCAAAATATCAGAATTAAAAGAAAGTTTGGATCTTGAATCAAATGAAATTGAGGCAAAGCGACAACAGCTTCATCGAAAGGAAGCAAAATTGGATCCTTCTCATTCAGGTCACGTCTCCGATGGAATGCGTGAATTAAAGAAAGAAATTTCAGTATTGACAGAAGAACTAGAAGATAAAGTGCATCAGTATAAAGTGGCTGCCATCCGTACCAACGCAAAGATTTCAAGGTTGGAGATGGAAATGGCAACATTGGATTCTCTCAGAGATGTCGAGTTAGCAGAGATTTCTGAAGATGAAGAACAGTATTTAGGATCAGATGAAGATCTTGAATCAGAAGAAGAAAGACTGGCAACGGAATTCAAGAAGTGGAAAGTTGCTGCTACTGGTGGGGATGGGGATGAGAACAAGGGACAAGAAACAATTCCTGTTACGTCATCAGCCGGACCGGGACCAGTAATGCCTCCGACCGCTTTAGATTCAATCGCCCAGTCCTTGCAAGCACTTACCAAGTTGGCAGATAGTTCAAATCCTCAAGTTGGATCAGTTACGGAGAAGATGCTCGTGCGCCAATCAGTGGGGCGAGATTTACCTCCGTTTAGTGGACGACCTGAAGAATGGCCGTCATTTATTGCAACATTCAAGAGGACAACCACGGCGTGTGGATTCACTGATGCAGAGAATGTTGAGCGAATAAGAAAATGTTTGAGAGGATCGGCGGCGAAGAGTGTCGAATGTTTATTGGTCTCTCCGCAGTCTCTTCCTAAGGTCCTGCAAATTCTCGAAGAAAAGTATGGACAGCCAGAAGTCGTGGTACACGCCATGGTGACCAAGACAAAAGCAGTTCCTCCAGTGAAAGAAGATAAGCCTCAGACGATGATAGAATTTGGGACGGCGGTGGTAAATCTTGTCGCCGCCATCAAGAACTTGGGAGAAGATGGACACCTCAAGAATCCAGTCCTACTTCGCGAGCTGGTGGAAAAGTTACCTCCAAATGTTCGGATTAGTTGGGAGGAGTCAGTTGTGTCAGCAGTCAGCACGTCCAGTTTGGAAGACTTCTCAGAGTGGGTGGAAAAGAGGGTGAAGATTGCTTGCCGTATGTGTCCCCCAAAACAATTTGAAGAGAAGAAAGATGATCAAAAGTCTAAAGCCAAGGGGGTCAAAGATCATAGAGACGAAGGTGATGTCCCCACCGCGGCTGGATTGGTCAGTGGTCAATCGAGCAAGATCTGCGTCTTTTGCGGAAAGAATAATCATTACTCGAGCGACTGTTATAAATCTGAGCACATGACCATTGTGGAAAAGGAAGACATTATCAAGAAGAACAAGATATGCTTCAAGTGCTTAAGGATTGGACATATTGCTAAGAGTTGCAAAGTGAAGTTGAATTGTGGACTTTGCAAAAAGAGTGGACACTGCAAGCCGATGTGTCCAGAATTAAAAAGTAATCAGAAGAACCGCTTCTCATCCCCAGCGGAAGTTGAAGAAATGGAGCCCAGTGTATCTGCTGCGACAGCAAGTCATTCATGTCGAAAGGACATCTTGTTGAAGACATTGCTTGTACGAGTAGTTGGGTTGAAGAATTCCCGTGTCGTGCGACTCATTTTCGACGAGGGGAGTCAACATAGTAACGTAAGCTCCACCACCATCGAGAATGCTGGAGGTCGCTTGGTGGGAGAGGAGTGGGGGCGTAACGTGTTATTTGGTGGATCAGTGACCAGTAGCACGAAAGTCAAAAAATTTAAAATGGAACTAGAAAGTATGGATGGAAAAGTGCGAAAAGAGCTGGTTTTGAGGGAAACTCCAGTAATTTGTGGAAATTTGCCAAGAGTACCACATGGTCCGTGGATTCAAGAACTCAAGAAGAAGAAGATTTGGATAACCGATATGGAAGTAGCTAAAGTAGAGAACCCGGACATCGACGTACTTATTGGGAGCGATTACTGGGGCCAGTTAGTGACCGGAAAACCGATCAAGTTGAACAGTGGTTTAGTCGCGGTCAAAACTTTATTCGGCTGGACTTTGAGTGGACCAGTGCCTGGCTACGACTCAAGAGGAGAGAGTGCAGCTATGATGAGCACTTCTCTATTGACCGCTCAGTATTCGGTTCCAGAAATGTGGAGTTTGGAGTCAATTGGAATTCAAGACCCCATCGATCATAAATCACAGAAAGAAAAGGAAGCAGCTACTCAACAGCATTTCTTGGACAATGTGTCACGAAACGAGGACGGACGGTACAAAGTGAATTTGCCATGGATTTTAGGAGCGCCCGTCATTCCTGACAATAAGAAGATTGCTGAGAAGAGACTTGAGTCAACAACAAGCAAGTTAAAGGCAGCAGGAAAATATGCTGAATATAACAAAATTTTTGAAGATTGGTTGAAGGAGGGAATAATTGAGCAAGTTGAAGATGACCTATCAGTCAAGAAATGCCATTATCTCCCTCATCGAGCGGTATTTAAGCCCCAAAGTGTTACCACGCCAGTGCGCCCAGTTTTTGACGCCTCGTGCAAAGTGGGGCGAAATCCATCCCTGAATGAATGTTTAGAGAAGGGGCCTAATCTATTGGAACTGATCCCTTCCCTGCTGTTAAGATTTCGACAAAAGAAGATTGGCGTCATCTCCGACATCCGAAAAGCGTTCCAGATGGTGGAGGTGGCGGAAGAAGATCGTGACTTTCTCCGATTTTTGTGGTGGAAGGATAAGGAGGAATTGGTTACCTTCCGGCATCGGAGAGTGGTTTTTGGACTGAATGCGAGCCCATTTCTACTCGGAGCAGTTTTGGAATACCACTTGAGGTCAGTGGATGGCGAAGACAAGAAAATAGCCATGAAAATTTTGAAGTCACTCTACGTGGACAACAATGTGACCTCAGTGGACTCGCTGGAAGAATACAAAGAGTTTAAAGTGAAATCCATCCAATTGTTAAGTCAAGCCGGGATGGAACTACGACAGTGGGAACACAGCGGTGAAGACAGCCCATCTGAAGAATTATCATCCGTTTTGGGATTGAAATGGAATAAATTGGAAGACTCTCTTGGTGTAGAAATTCCAGAAGAGAATCCAGAAAAGTTGACAAAGAGAATTATTTTGTCATTAGTTCACAAGTTATTCGACCCATTGGGATTTCTGAGTCCAGCTACTTTAATCCCAAAATTATTAATGCAAAAGGCTTGGGAGAAGAAGACTGCTTGGGATGACGAGATTGATGAAGATATGAAAATGGAGTTTTCAACTTGGTGGAAAGAGCTGCCAATTTTGCGAAATGTGTCAATTCCGAGATTCGCATTTGGGGAATTGGACTCAGAATTGGAAATTCATACTTTTAGTGATGCGAGCAAGTCGGCGTATGCAGCGGCCGTGTTTATTCGTGTCAAGAATGGAGATAATATATCTGTCCAGCTATTACAGTCAAAAACGAGGGTTGCCCCATTGAAGCTTGGATCCATCCCAAGATTGGAATTACTTGGCTGCGCCATAGCAGCAAGATTGACAACCAGTGTCAAAGAAGCTCTATCACTGCAGGATACTACGACCCGATTTTGGAGTGATTCCTCCACGGCGTTGGCGTGGATTCGCCGAAATGACGAGTGGGGAACTTTTGTGGGCAATAGAGTGAAGGAGATTTTGACTTTGACTAAAGTAGAAGAATGGCACTTCGTCCCTGGAAAACTCAATCCAGCAGACCTCCCTTCTCGTGGATGTTCTCCTTCAAAATTAGTGAAGTCGCAATGGTGGGAGGGGCCAAGTTGGTTGAAGGAAGATATGGACAAGTGGCCAAGTGACGAAGATATCCCAGATGAGGAAATTGTTCTTAATGAAAGAAGAAAGGGAAGAACAATGAAGTTGGCCGTCATGAGCCAAGACCAGCCATTCTATTACAAGTCTTCCCACTATATGAAGAATTTACGAGTTTTTGCATATGTGAAAAGGTTCGTGGACAAGTGTCGACATCGGAGCAAGGAAAGTGGCCACATTACTCAAAAGGAGATTGCAGCCTCGGAACACACCTTGTTCAAGATTGTCCAGCTTGAAGTGTTTCGTTCAGACCAGAATGTCATAGCCGGTCTTAAAGTTGTACGAGATGGAGATGGTCTCATTCGTTTGGAAACACGGCTACTCCAGCGTCAAGATACGGAAGCATTCAGAAAACCTGTGCTGTTACCAAATAATCATCCAGTTGTGGAGCAGCTCATACGAGAGGAACACTTACACCATCATCACGCGGGTGTTCAATTTCTTCTGGGACGAATTAGAGAGCGATGCTGGATAATTCAAGGAAGAAGAGCAATAAGAAAAGTTGTGCGGTCATGCGTTGTATGCCGTCGATTTACAACGAAGAGTCCAAATGTACCCTCCTCATCACTACCTGAAAATAGAGTCAAGGATGCGAAGGCGTTTCAAATTATTGGAATAGATTTGGCCGGCCCCTTATTCATGAAAGACAAAAGCAAGACTTGGTTGGTGCTCTTCACTTGTGCAGTCTTTCGGTGCGTTCATTTGGAACTTGTGGACTCGCCGAGGACGACCGACCACAATTTACACAGACAACGGCACAAATTTCGTCGGCGCCAACAATTTGTTCCAGCAGTTGGACTGGAAAAGAATTCAAGAGAAGATCAATGTCATGAAAATCGAGTGGAGATTTAACCCGCCCTCTGGAGCATGGTGGGGTGGATGGTGGGAGCGACTTATCCGCACCATCAAGGACCTTTTGAAAAGAATGTTGGGACACAGCAAGTTAAACCATGTCCAGATGGAGACGTGTCTCTGTGAAGTTGAAGCGGTCATCAACGGGCGTCCCTTGACATATGTGACCGAAGACCAAGACGATTTGATCCCATTAACTCCATCAATGTTCATTCAAGATGTTACGACTACTGAGTTCCCTGAGATGAAATCAATTGATGGAGATGGATTAAGACAGCAGTATCGAGGCCTCGTCGCATTAAGAGAGGAATTGCGGTCAAGATTTCGCAAGGAGTACTTGTCGCAGTTAGTTCAACGAGGAAAAGAACTAAACCCCGAAAAGTTTCAAGTTGGAGATGTTGTTCTGGTCGGCTCAGACAACAAGAAGAGAGTGGACTGGCCGATGGCTCGAGTGGAACAATTATTACCAGGAAAAGATGGGAAAGTTCGCGTGGCCCGACTGAAGACTCAGAGTGGATTCTTCGTCCGACCACTACAACGACTTTATCCTCTTGAAGTTTCGTCCACCCGTGATCCCCTCTCCATTACGACGGCTATCAAGCAAGTAGCGAAGACAGTTTCAGCCAAGAAGACTTCGCATGGAATTGAGGATGAGAAAGCTGAAGTCATAACCAGATATGGAAGAAAAGTTGTGACTCCAGACAGATTGTGTCAGTGATTGTGTGTGATCATTTGTATATTTAATTGATGATTTTGTGTATGTTTATTAGTGTATTTTCTTCGTACCTTAGAAAATAGGTGGGAGTATGTTGGATTTCATGAGAATATTTATTGCCCCGTTTTGGTATAAAAATAGTATCGGAGCAGCCATCTAGTTTGTAGTTTGTACATTAATGTTTTGCGTACGTGATCAAGAAAACGTACATTGTTTTATAAAAGCAGAAGTTTTTTAGTCTGCTCAGTTTTTTTTATTTTTTCTCGTTTAGCTTCCTTTGAGCACACACACATAATTTTTAAGGTATGATTATTTCTCTGTTTGAAATTAATTAGTGAGAAATAAAATATTAAAGGTGTATCATTGGAAGAGTTCGAGAGTCATCATTTCCTGCATTCAATTTAATTAAATACGCCACGGAACTGCGACTGGCCTGATCAGTATTTATTAGAGAATAGCTTTCACCGGGTAGGCGACTGACTCATTCTACAGTAATTTTTATTGTATTAATTTTACGTATCACCGGCCTTGGGGGGGCTCAAGCCCCCCTAGCCCCCCCCTTGGCTACGCGGCTGATGAAAACTTTACGAATAGTGATTTTTGCACGTGCAAATTCCATGTCTTGTGCTTATTTTTGCGCATGTGGGAACCCTGGGTTGGACGGGCAACAGAGAAGTTTCCCTTTTAAAATGACATTGAACTCATCAATTTGTATTCTGGACCATGCATATTCACAGCAGATATGTAAGTTTCGAGAAACTCAAGAAGCAATTAACCAGATTTATTTTTAAAAACAAGTACAATGTTTCGTGGTAAGAAAATAAATTTGCATATTTGTATCTACATAAATCAGCGCTGTACAACATTTAGCTGCAATTACATAGATTACATACTGGACCAGTTATGTATGGGCTGGCTGATGATTAGGGGATGTGCATTTATTACGCTATGAAAAAGGTGGGTGAGTGGTTTTTGATCGCTCTTTTTTACTCGTGTTAAGCTTAACACGAGTTAACTAAATTAAATGTTAGTGAATTATTTAAATGAGTACGATTAACTACAAGAAAACGCACTAATTCTAAGATGCTGTAGGAGGAGAAATTCAGGAGTTTTAATAAAGCTCGTAAAAACTGAAATATCGAAAAGTTAATATTGAGTTAAATTTGGAAAAATCCAAATTTTCGGCAAGAACATATTCAAATTTAAAATTTAGTCGGGATAGGAGAAATCCATCAAAATGATGACAGATTTTGAGGGAAATGGTGAAAATCTATGACACTCTAGAAATGACGATTGTCTTCCTCCCGCGTCATAGCAACAGTTTTTTTGGACGACTTTAGGGCCATCCATATATTACGTCATTAAAAAGTCTCTATTTTAGCACCCACCCACTCAGTACATAAACGTTTATATTAAGGGATAGGGAATTTTAACATGGAAAATTTAAAACACCCCCCCCGGAAAAATTGGTTGACGCAATACACGGACGTTCCCTAAACATTCTGTCTTCTTGCCGAACTAAACCAATTCTTAAGTAAAAATCGACAATTATCTTCATTACGAGTTAAATGTCTAATCTTAACATGAGTTTGCGGGAAATGTGGATTAGCTGATGTAAAACCAGCGTTTTATTTATGACGTAACATATGGATGTTCCCTAATTACAAAGTCGCATATTCAGGTACATACTGGAAAAATACCCAACGATTAATATATTTTTTTATATTTTTTCTTTTATTCTACGCGATTCTTTGCTGCAGTGAGAGGAGTGAACTCGCTCACTACCGACTTGACCTCTGCTCAGTGCTGATCTTGAGTTTGAGACACAAGATCTTGGTAGTGGATTGCGTTTAAAATAAATTTCAAAATCCATACTTTTTAGGAATTTCAAGCATGGGAAACATTCCCGTTTTGGTAAGTAATCAATGTATAAAGAAAAAGGATGGAAAACTGTCGCCGAAGTGTAGTCTCTTCTTAATTTTATGAAGGACAAAGTGTCAATTTCTCAATTTCAAGAATTATATAGTACCACAATATTTAAACGGTCGTTTATATAAACTTGAAGCTAAACTTTATGAACTTTGTAACTGCACTTATCGAAATCTGTTCAATTAAAAAATATGTAAACATGTTTTCCAAGATATTTAAAGGTATTTTGGCTCTTGGGATAAGCCAGCATTTCACGTCCACCCTGGGTCAACATGAATCCGATACACTCGGGGACGTTAGCGAAAGGGCAAATTGACACCAGCAGGACTTTGGTAGGGTTGCAACACTTTAACAACAGAGGTCTCTCAACGTATGCAGACAGATTTTCAACAAACTGATGTCAATCGATCGCAACTATACATAATTCATATTATGAAAATTTGCAATAGACAAGTGCTCCTAAGACACACTTTTAGCCGAGATTTTTGCATCCGAAGAGAAGTAAATTTTGACAGTGCAAAATTTCTACCTGTGCAACGCTCTTTGGCCTCTTCGAATGTTAAACTTACTGTCTGGAAGAGTAAAATTGTCACCTTTCCGGTTACATACATTTGTACCTGTGAAACGGTCCATTTGGGTGATCTTGTATTTTTGCATCTATATTATAAGCTGGAAATGTTTGTCTGCAACGGAAGTGAAAGTAATTTTCCGAAACGGAAGTAAAGAAAGTAAAGAAAGTCAAGTCTCAAATGGCGCTAAAATCAAAAGTTCAAGACGAAAATGTCGGAAGGTATGATTCACTTTGTGGTGTGGTCTTATGATTCTCTGGGGGTGTTGGATATCTGTGGGTGGTGTTTATCGGGAGTGCTGACTATAATGTCAAATCTACTCTCGCCCGGCGGGAGACGAGCTTATATGCTAGTATTTCATATGAATTAATTTCGAGATCGATATCCATTATGTAGTTTGCTCGAAATTTTGCAGCATTCATACATTGGGAGACTTCCATTGTCAGTGAGTAATTGCATAATTGAGAAATATGTAACCTTAACCAATCAATTTGTCCCAGATGTTTCCTAGACAAACCGAACGTCGCGCCCGACAGGTTAATTACTGCGTCAACTTGCTCAACTACGCGGGCACGTATTATCCACTGTCTGAAGTTTTTCTCATGCACCAAACATCGCTGTCCCGCCCGAACTATTACCCGAACCAGGGTCAAGGATATCCGGTAAGCCTTAAATTAGAGTTGGTTTAGTTCCCTTTTTAAAGAGTAAATATATGTATGTACATATGATGAACTAGAATGCAAATTAAAATGAAAATATGATTAACTAAAAAATTACATTAATTGTGGTCATGGTGGGGGAGAAGGAATTCAATGAGTTTGATAAAACTCGAAAAAGTTTTATACTGCGTAATTTTGAGAAATATCCTAATTTTCGGTAAGAAAAAGTTTAAGTTTGACATTGCGTTGGCATAGGAGAAATACATGCCTTAAAGTTCCAACTGGTTTTTGGTTTCTGAGAAAAAATAGTGAAAATCCAGAAACGACAATTTGCACGATGAAGACAATTTTTAGGACCACTTTAGTCTTCCTCTCATTTCTAGAAAAAAAAACAATTATGTATGTTCGTTACGAATGAAAGGATTGCTTAATTAACCTTTATACGTCCGGCAGACCAATTCCGCAGGGGGTCGGTCCACGTCAATATCCACGATCGGGCGAGAGTCATGAGAGCGGAGATGTTGTCTCTCCACTCCGAGCGACACTACTGATGGTGGTGCTCACGAGCAGTGGCCGTAGCACGTACTAACTTTTTAAATGTCGACACGGTCAGGCCTACATTTTTTTAGTTACATTTATTTTAACTCAGCGTTAAAAATAATCTTTACTGGTATGGCATTTTAATTTTGTCACTGAAAGTTTTGTTTACGCCTCTTGTTTTCTGATAATTTTTGGGAATATTCCCATACATAAGCTTGCATGTGTTAATGTGTGTCAGAAAAATCGATATAACTTTTTGCACCCTGTCGGGTGCGACCTAATTTTTTTATGGTGGATTAGAAATTTAAAATTACGTTATAACTAGTGAAATTTGGGTTGCACACGACAGGGTGCAAAAAGTTATAGCGTTTTGAAGTTACCATTACAAGATGGCTAGAATTCAAATTTTTCAAATTCTTATAATTTTAAAATTTAGTTTATAGTGCCTACAACAACTTTTAGGTTTAGTTAAACCTTCCCAAAATTACGTGACACTCAGTGCATCAGATAGAAAATTTTTCTTAAATTTTTTACAAATTTAAATTCTCGGCCAATTTCTAACATAGAATTTTTATTTTGTCACTAGTAACTTTATTTAAGCAGTACGTATTTATGGTAAAATTAGCTTTAAAATCTGAGACGTGGCCCGCAATACATGATTGACATTGACGTGGACTGACCCCAGGTCTTCCTCCCTGGCTACCTGATGAAGATCGGATTGTTGGTGGACAGCCTACAACCATAGAAAAGTATCCGTACCAGGCTAAAATTTTCGTTGATTTCATTGACGGCTATTGCAGCGGCACAATTATATCAGAGCGCCGCGTATTGACCGCAGCGTGAGTGGTAAACGTGACAATTTGGGCGCAAACCATGATTAGTATTTGCCCAGCTAAATTTGCGAGACAAACTCTTTAGAAGCAATATTTAATTTATTTAAGCAGTACTGGTGCAAGTTGGCAAAATTTAACGAATTCCGGGGGCGAACAAGTTTGCGGCATACGAGGAATCAATGAAAGTAAGGCCAAATAAATTGCTGCAGGGCACAGATTCCGTTCATGTTTTCGTCAACTTGCCGCAGCCAAAATTTTGCGCAAGTGTCACATTAAATATTGTTTCTAGAGTGTTAGTCTCTCACACTGAGGTGGTAGCAACAAGAAGTTCGTTTTTCAATGTCTTAACCTCTTGCAGGCATTGCGTCTGGTCACGTGACATATCTAATCTCCACATTGTTGTGGGTAGTTCTTCTGCAGAAAGGAGTGCCCAAGTTCTGAAGGTCTCTGCTATTCACGAACACCCCTCGTACGATCATAGAACTTTTGATAACGATATTGCAATCCTGGAGGTAAATTTCATATATTCTAAATAAATCGGACTGCATTAAATTTTTAACTGAATTTTATAATTTTTCAAAAAGTTAAGCTCCCCTATTTCCTTTGGCCGAGGCGCGCAACCAATTGCAACTGCTGCGCCGGGTTCAGAACTGCCGGCCGGAACGCTCGCCACTATCACGGGATGGGGTAGGTTTTCATATTCAAAAATATTTATAAGGTTAAGGGACGTGCATACAGTGAAATGAATTTGTAAGAAATTCATGAAATATGTATGATTCAAAGTGTTTAGAAGTTGGAAATCTTTCGAGTTATTAATGATTAATAATTTTATGAATCGACTATATCCATTAATCACATTACTTTAAATTAATTGTATGTACATCAAACTAAATTATGTTAAATAATATATATGGGAAGACGTTCATAAAACTGTCTTTCCTATTGAATTTCTAAAAAAACTGATTAAATTTATACATATTTAGTGCCGTTAAAATTGGCAATTCACTTTGTAAAACAGACTTCGAGTTTCGCATTTAAACAAAAATGATTACAAATTTTAAATTTCCGCTGGTACCTTTAGACGTAGCTTTTTATCTTACGCTTAAGGTACAAGTTATAAAGGTTTAGAGTACTTTGAGATAAGCTTAGAAAAAATAGAGTACCCTTGAGTGTCCCTGCTTAACTCGGTTGAGACCTGGCCAAAATAAAAAAAAAATATTAGGTAAACGGGCTTTTTTGGACTTAGGCGCCTTGAAATCCGGTAGCTCAAGTCGGAATCAACTTTACGCGGGGCTAGTCAAAATCGTCTCGATCAGCGATTGTAGACGGGCTTATCCAACCCATGCAATCACTGATAACATGTTCTGTGCCGTTGGAGAAGGAGTTGGTGGGTGTCAGGTATGTGTGACTCTTGGAAATTAACGGTTCTATACATACATTAGAGACTTGGTGCAAGTTCGACATGGATATGAGCATACCTGTTCACTTTCATTCATGTGACTGACTAATAGTCAGTGACTGTGACAGAGAATGATTGTGAATGAAAATGAATTTCCTGTGATCTGAATGAAAATGAGTGAAAGATTCCGTCCTTTCAGATGAGTGAATGTGAATGAAAGGATTTCTCTCCTTTCAATTTTTCAGCTTATGCATAACATGTATGTACATGTGGCGAGGCAAGAAATGAAAGGAAATGAGTTTGAAAGAAAATGACTTTCCCTTCAGTCAGGTACCGGGATGACTGAAGTTTGAATGATTGAAGTTTTTCGAACAGGTATGGCCCTTTACTCATTTATTAGTCTAGAATTATATCGTTATAAATTTATTCAGGTAGATTCAGGCGGGGCTCTTCTGGTTAATGGAGTAGCATATGGAATTTATAGCTGGGGCTATGGCTGCGATCATCCAGGTAAGACGCGCAAACTTCACATTCTAGATTTTTGGAGATTACGAACTAAAAAAAGTGCTACTTTTGTTCCCTAGATTATCATGGGGTTTATACAAAATTATCAAAGTACCATAGTTTTATAAGCCAGTTCATTTGGAAAGGAATTATTTCTTAGTAAAAAATATCAATATACAAACTTAACTTATTATGTAATTAGTATGTACATGGACGTTTGTAATTTACTATATCTGTAGGCGATTCGTAACCGTTAAATAATTGCACCGAAATTCCTTCAATTATGTAAACATGTCTTTTGCATATGTACCTACATTTGTTTAAAAGAAATTGTATTGTAACTATCTACTGTACACAAGTAAGTAAAGTTACTTACTTATACCTAGTTCTATATATTTATCATATAGAATGTATTATTAAGTTGCGAAATTGATGTTCTCATAGGTTTGGGGTTTTATACAAATGCATTTTTGGTCGAATATCAAATTTATAATAAAATATAATTTAATTAGTAGAATTAATCTTACTAGAATTAATAAATTCGAAATTAGTTAGTGGCAGTGAATTAATAACTAGTTTATTTAATTAGCAATTAAAATTCAACTTTTGTGAAGTACATGAAATTAATAATTACACTTAATTACTGGAAAAAGAAATATTTGAAATTGAAACTGAATACAACTATTGGTATATGTATGAAGTAATTGGAATTAAGAAATCAGGACCTTCATCGATAATTAAACAATCGTGCTTCAACATAAACCACAAATTTTCCAAATAACATTTTCCATATAAATATATTTCATTTCAAATGAACGATTATCTAGGCAGATAAGTAATTTAAAAATATGTCAGTTTTATTTTTTGCAAACAATAACCTAATCGTGCAGTCTGTAACTCTGGACACAAAATTCAGAAAGCAATTTCTTTGCATTCCATACCTCATGGTGTCGACCGATCCAGTTATTTCCAGATTTATTGAATTTGGCAAAAGAGCAATAAGTACTTTTTTTCTGTATTTACTGTTTTCATTGTATTTCTGCATACGATATAGGAACTCCATAGATTCTGTGGCCGACATAGAGATAAAGTTAACTATGAACCATTCCAAGAAAGATAGCACGCCAACAATAGCAAAAGACCCGACACATAAGAAAACTGAAAGCTCCTCTTGATCAACAATCTGTTTGATTAACACCCATATCCCCATACTGCAACATACCACAAGATAGAAATGGTGCATGCAAGTTGTTACGCATTCTCGGGCCAGCTCTGAATGTATTTTACAAATTATACTAATACAGTTGTACATTTTGATTCCCTGCTCGAAACTCAGCCCACGGCGAAGTTTACCATCATACTTGTCAGGTACCAAAAACTTCGTCCATCCATGTACAACTGCAAGTCCTAACGCCGGTATTATTACGCTGGTCCCCAAGCCTGCAAATAGAATCAAGGCCCCCACCCATGTGCAAAATCCAGATATAATCAAGCCCGCATAGTGGTGGAGCACACCCACTTGACCAGGTATGAAGAATTGACGAATGCTTACGACAATACCGAAAACTGGATTTGACTCAGAGAAACTGGCAAATAAAGCTAGGACGGGCATAACATAATCAAACCAGTAGTAAACATTTTTGGACATACGGTTAAGTTGTGATATTGCTGCATTAATGTCGGCCTCGATGGAGTAGCTTTCCGTGTAGACTTGGTCTAGTTTCAGATGTTACCACAATTTTAATGATTTTGCTATCTTTAAATAATTCAATTGTTTTGCTCACCTGTAAATTGTTTATCCAGATTTAATGTAGCTTCAGCAACCTGAACAATTTTATAAGCTCCGGAATACCTCATTAGTACCCAAGTGTATGGTACAAATGCCCATATGAACAATGTGAAGACATAGGCCAGCAGGATTGTTTGTTTGTCTTGGTGACCTTCTTCTACGGTAACTTTGAAGCTTTGAAATATTAAAAAGGGTAAAACCGGGAAGGTGAAGGAGGCATAGATGATTTGAAAAAGACGATATTTCCTCCCATTACTCAAGGCGGTTGCCTTCTTCGTTTTCTCATCCCACGAAAGGAAACATGCTTGGTTGAAAAAGCCGCGTTTTAAGATGTCGACAATGCGTCGGATATGGTAGATATATAAGTCTTCGAACATCGCAGAAGGGGACTTCTTGTCCTGCCTGGGAACGTTTATTGTTGTGGTGTATCATCATATATGAAACAGCAGTTATCTTGTTAAGGAGAATTTTTGGCCTTTTGAGAAAATGTGCTTTAAACTGCTCGAATAACTCATATCGGTGCGGTTTTAAATAGTTTGTGGACCCAACAGTCTACAACAGGGTAAAGTTTCTCCAAAATGGACTACAGTACAACTAGCCTTATTCCTAAGTTTTTGACATTTCAACCAATTATGTTGATTTAGTGCTATAAAATATTTTTGCGTTCTTTAATTCCTGAGGCGGATTTACCCAGTGAAACCTTATGTGTATTTGTGAGCGCACAGTTACTTCATGCCGCAGCATAATCCTGTTAACCAATTACAGTATGCAACAAATTTAATGCTACGATGACATAATTTTTATATCGACATGATCGCGTAAATTTTAAAATTTCAAACTCCGCACAATAATCTGAAAAGTATATACGGACAATTTCCTCATCGCCGATTTTTAATATCGCACAAAGGTCAAAGGTCACCATTATTTTTGTGAACAAATTTGAGGCGTCGAAAAAATAACTTCGTGGATAATTTTTTTGAACTTTCTAGTATTTTTTATCGGATGCGACATGCGTTTTGAAGAAAAATGAGCTTTGGTCGGACCGTGTACGATTTTTTTGACGCCCACAGGAATTTTTCGCCAAGGACAGGTTGAAGGCCTGAAATCGCCACCGCGGCGAAAATTCGAAAACTGAAATATACGTTTGCATGTCGGGACTGTTAATATGCATTTTTTATTCTGTAATATGCATTCATTATTCTTCAAAACGCATGCCGCATCCAGTAAAAAATATTGCAAAGTTCAAAAAAAAATATCCACGAAGTTTTTTTTTCGACGCCTCAAATTTGTTCACAAAAATAATGGTGACCTTTGACCTTTGTGCGATATTAAAAATCGGCGACGAGGAAATTGTCCGTATATACTTTTGAGATTTTTGTGCGGAGTTTGAAATTTTAAAATTTATGCGATCATGTCGATATAAAAATTATGTCATCGTAGCATTAAATTTTTTACATACTGTAGGTCTTCTGTCATATAACTTTGTCATATAAATAAATAATTAGATTATTTGGATTTAATTAAATGGGAATAGATATGGAATTTTACATACATGCTGAAAATATCTTTAGAAATGGTTGCATTTCTGTTGGTGTACTATTTAAATATTTATTATTGGCATTTAAGAGGGGTTGATTTGTCCAATTTTAAGAGATAACCTTGTCAAAGAACTTTTGTTGCAAGTCCAACTCATAGAGTTGAACTGAATATAATTATATGAATGTGAGCAGACAGGCAACAACTTTTGACTAGCCATCTATCCTAGATTATGCTGCCGATATCTTGAAGCATTACTTTTAAAAGTTACTCATAGATACATATTGCTTGACTGAAAAATCGAAGGTTTGCAAGTAATTTTCTGCATACGTGCATAAGGCCATGTCTTCTGAGAATTCCACTCTTAGTGATCAAGTAATCCTCTGTAGATTGGAGTAATGCAATTATGTCATTATACCTTTTGGTATATTTTGATATAAATAGTTCGAAATTGGATTGATGATCGACAATTTTGCCAAGATTATCTTGGTACCCCAAACATCTTGCATAAAATGGTGCACTATACATATGTGTAATGAGTTTTTCGTCACTTCCATGCATCTGTATGTAAATAATTTAGGCATGTCGAAACATTTATGCAGATGCGTTCGGCTTCATGCACGATACATAAGAAAATTTTGGGATGTTCAAACTTTACAATAAATCTAGAAATACTTCATAGTCACTTACGAAACTGTGGAAATGATGCGAGTTGATTAATTTTATTAATGGATTAATTAGATTTGATAGTATTTGACTCAAAATTGCCATCACGTGCTTATGCAAAAACACACACTTGTAATCATAAAACCCTGTATAAAGTAAAAGATGTAAGTTCGATGAGGATTATACTTGCTGCCAAACCAACTGCATACATATTTCCATTACTTTTGCGCCTAGTTACAGTAGATTTTTACATCCTCGAACGAGGCTAATAATTAGAACTCTGGAAAACGTATCTAAAACGTTTAGCTAGTAGGAATTCGACTTGTATTTGCTCTGGGGTGCTTGTATTGTCCAAAATTGAAAATTGAAAATTGAGTCTTGAAATACAATGGTATATCAACCAAAATAAGTCATTTAAAAAAGTAAATATGGTGGTTAGGCATACGCTAGTAGCTACATTTAATATCCGTAAAATATCGAAACCAATTTAGCCCAAATTATTTGTGTTCTTTGGTATCATTCCTTAACTTAAGTGAATACACATATATTCCACATTAAACTTTTAAAAAGTAAATCAGGGTCTTTGAGAGTTTAGGTAAGTGGAGTTTGGCCTTTCAAAGTTTGAAGGTACACACAAAACGAAGAACATTATTCAAGGTACATCAAGCAAGTAATTCATCCTCATTTTAATTTTGACAAACGTGCATTAACTGAATATGTATATATACACGCGAGTTGATTTCACATTTAAGTTTAAAGAGTAAATATGTATAGGAATTTACATAAGTTGGTATTTGGGCTCTGAAAGTTTTAAGGTACCCAATCAACTACAATATATGTGCAAAGGGGTGCAAGCAGCTAAACTTTGGCAAAGTTTACTAACTTGTAGGTCACACCTGGACGTACACTTGTAGTGCAATTATTTACCGAAGCCCACGAGGAAACTTTGGCTACATAATCGAATAATCTAGAAATATGTAGCGCGTGGATCGTTAAATATCTAATTATATCAATTCATTTCGAGTCGATGCACGTAATCAACTGTGGTCACTGGCTGACTAGATGCATTAAGATACGGTCGTTACGTTTTACTGTAACAATCATGATTTTTCAAGCAGGTCATCAACTGTTGATTTGGAACCTACGGCTCTTAGGCATTTTTCAGTTCAAACCGTTATTCTACGACACGGAAAGTAAACAATTCGCATATCGGAGTCAGAGCAAGTTTAATGTTATCGTCGTCTCGAGCACGGTTGTTGTTCTGTTGATTAATGGAATTCATACTCTCACCTTTTCCACGGGTCTAACTATGAGCACGAAAGCGTTCATAGTTACATTTTTGGTCGGTTGGTGCACAGGATATCCGATTGCCTTTCCCATTCTTAATGGCACAAAGACGGTTGTGGATTTGTTGAACTTGATCGGACACTTTGAACATCGGTACCTTGAACCGCTGAGTAAGTTAATTAATCAGCAATGGAACCATGATTTTTGGAAACTTTTGTGATTCTCATATAGGTTGTTCCATCAAATGCATCCGGTGTTGGCAAGTTCGAGTAAAATTGTGCAGTGTTGCAGCAGCGGTCGTATCTGTTGTAGGACCAATTACAGAATTTGCAATAGTACTGCGCGAAGCAAACATTCCGACGTTTATTGGTTCAATCCCAGTAAATGTACAGTCGGGCTGGGTACACGGGGTCATCTTTGCTGTCTCCTTGGTCTTGCAAGGCTTCATCGTGACTGCAGTTCCGGCTGCATTCAGCATTATGGTTGGCCAAGTGTGCTGCGGGACTTTGATATCGGTGGCCGGATATTTCTCCTGCTTGAAAAAGTAAGTTTTGATGATCCTTAATTAATTATTTAACTAAATTTAATTAATTCAATTAATTCTCGAACCGTTACATGAAAACGTTTGTATTGAATTACATGTGTTGAAATACAAATTAAAGATCACGGATCTTGAAGGAGTTTAAATACTCGGACAATCTGACCGTTGCGGTAACCCTGTATAGACAACTATCCGTTCTCGTTGGACAGATCAACTATTGTTTCCGCCAGATCGTTCTTCCCGCCATTCTAATGTACGGCATTACAATAAACATCTTGACAACATACCTCACAGTGACGTTGAAAAGTAAGCTGGTCTCTAACGTTGGCAACTTGCTCTACCCGTTTCTTGCATTTGAGACGTTCTTGGTGATTATGGGAACAACAGCTGGTCTTATCAACAAGACGAGCAAGGTGATTGTGACTAAAATGAAGGTAGCCCTGTTTGATGTGGTCATGCAAACTGGGGAAATGCGAGAAGATACAAGGTACATGAGACGAATGATCCATGCCTGCGGTCCAATTAAGATCCGGTTCGGAAGCAATTTTATCGATACTTCAACACCACTGGTAATGACGAGCTTCTGTATGAAAACGTTAGTTCGGTTACTTCTCTGTTCTAAGGCGTAAGTGGCAGGTCATTCTTTATAAATGGTTAAGGTATACATGCCGCCCGTTAGTTGAATTCCAGAAATCACCCAATGAAACATATGCATGACCCAACACAAATATTTACACTTACGTAAAAATATAAGTAAAATTTAAGAATAGCTTGTCAAGCGAAGAATATGTATACGTGTCACTAATAATTATGTAAAACATAAAAATAAAAATGAACATATCACCTTTATTACAGTTCCCTTCAATATTGATTTGTATTATTATTATTACGCTTGTCATAAATGCACAACCAAAATTAAATCATGCACAGAACCCCTAACTTTATTTCAGAAATAGTGATTTGAGTATATTTTGGCATAGTTTAAAACATTTGACCCTAGTGCATTCCTTGTCATGCATTTCATGTTTCGGATCTAAGATTAATCTTTATTTAAATATATATCTATGTATTTATGAATTTGTAAAATTGGCAATTTGAACGTGCAGTGTATTTAAATTAAAATAAACAAACTAATCGTCTTATTTTGCATCATATTTGATAAACCGTTCTTGCAACAGTAACCAGTTTAATGCCGAACTAACCATGTGTTTATGTATTTGTTAATTGGACCGAAAATTATTGACACTACCTACGTTCTCGTCACAATTTGGATAACGATAAACGCAAAATTCGCAATTTGCAAACGGACATAAACAAATACAGTGCGCATATTTTTTGGACTCAAGCTATTTTAGTGATTGTTGTGAAATTCTCCAAGGCATAGGGTGCAACTCCAAGGCCTAAATGTAAGGAAAACCACATTTATTAAGGTGTGTCCCTTTTATAAGATTCGTATGTCCGTGTCTTTGTGTTTGTCCACCTGTCCGCGCGATATATCAATAACAGTTTAAAATTTTGACAAACGTCAAGTTCGAGCACTGTACGTTACACATGTCAAGGTCAAAATGGTCACAAAAGGGTCACCAAATATTAAATTTGACACATACGTCAATTTGATAAGAGATTTAACCCTGTATTCATAAGTGATTTCTATTATGACCTCAGGGGTCCCAACACGTCATCAAATGTTAATATCGTTACATTCGTTTAACAGTATAACACATGGAAAATTACGATTATTAGGACATACCCTTCGGGATATGCATCCAACTTGGGTACTAAACAGTACATATGATAACCGCGATCACAATCGCCACAGTACAATAATTGATCCTGAAAATGTACATAATTATAAACGCAAAACTTTACCAAAACGACTATTTTTGCTAATAATTTACGTCATTGTCTGAGCTGCCACATATTGAGTAGCACTTCCACTCATTGCAACGATACTTTTTGACGGAAATGATCATGTTGTTTGTAAATTCCATACAAGTCGGATGACCTACAAGCATTTTTTAATCTTAGGTTAAATATTGTTAATATTAATGTATTTTCTTCATTCGAATTAATAATTAAAATTACTAATGGAAAATTGTCAAAATTATGACAAATTGGTATAGCTGAAATTACCCGACCGTCCACAATCTGAACAGGACAGGAGATCTTCGGGAATTCCAGATTTTATATTTTCAATTGCGTCTCCTAAACAAACATCGCAATAAGTAGATCGTGGCACCTGAAACTTTAAGGTATCCATTTTTCTAAGGAAATTAGGGTCATCTAGTCCTTCTGAATTTGAAGGCCCAGAAGAAGACACACCCGCTTGAGAGGGATGATTCATTCCTAGCAGTTGAGAAGAATGGTTTCCTACACTTGATCTGTACATGAAAAGGTGGAATATTAATAAACTTGTACATATTTATAAGTAAATATGTCAGATGAATGAACGGGGTATGCTATGTACCCAGGGTATTTGGGGTATTAGGGTTTTCCTGTTTTTGGAAAATTTTCCGGGATTTAGCAAATTTGTGTAATACCCACGGGTAGCCGGTGTTTTCAAATTTAAAAATGTGCATAATATGTATATTATAACATTAGTTTAATAATTTATTAAATATTAAAATGAAATAAATAAACTATTTTGCTGCGAAATTGTTGAAAAAGTAGATGACTCAGTTTGTCCCCAAAACTTCGACTACCCGCAAAACCCAGTTTCAATAGAAGTTCAGTAATAGTTTCTTCGACTACCCGGGGTTTTCCCCTACTCTGAATATAAGGATGAGACAAGAGACAAGAAGTTGATGAGATGCTAGTTGATCTATTTGGTTCAAGAAAATGTGTTTTAAATGATTCGATACAGACGTTTTATGTCCAAGAAACTGGAGGTGGACAAAGCACAGAATATTTGAAGTTTAGCCAGGTATGTAAATCTACATATTATATCCTACACAGTTCACGGTAATAATAATAAACTCAATCATACCAAACAGTACCTGGTGAGCTGCTTTGTTAAAGAATGAGCTGTGTCTAGACAAAACTATAAAGCACAACTGGGCATTAAATGAGAATACATATGAGATTTCTGCGTAAACCTAAATATGTATAAGACCATGTCTAAAATCGGTGGAATGTATTTCCACATCATGCAGATTTATTCTTGCACACATACTAGAATAAATAAGCATGACGTGTACATAATTACATTGTTGTTTTCTGCATGGCGGACACGTCAACACATCTACGTATATTTAGTAATTGTAGTATAGATTATACATGCATGATGTATTTGCAGAGAAGTATGTACAGGGTGGTTTAAATATCAGGTTACAATGGGAATTTTTTAAAGGATATCCACTAACGTCGCGGCCTGCCCCGTAAAAGGGGCGCTAGGCGGGAACACAGCGAAATTAAATTTCGACAAAATTATTTTTGAATAGACCAAGTTATAAGCTTTCCAGTGATATATGTATGTCACCAATTATTGAGTCATGGTAAACACTAGAAAAACTTGGGTTGACAGGCAAGAGTGAGGAAAAAGACTGATTGAGTTTCATAAAAAAAACCAAACAGCGATTCCAAAATGGAAATGGGAACAAATGGAAACAATGGAAATTTTAAAAGGAAACAATTCGCAAATTTCCATTAGTTACTGAAAATTTTACCTCTGAAATTCAATATTTTAAGAATTTTGTCATCAGTATTCCATAAATTTTGATAAAAATTCATAAAAATCCCAACGTTCATAAAAATTCATAAAAATCCGTAACTAATGGAAATTTACGAATTTTTCCCATTGTGACCTGACGTTTAAATCACCCTGTATGTGTTCATTAATTGTATGTGTATACTTACATGTACATACTTACATATATATCTACATACATACGTACTTACATAACACAATGTATGTATGAATGGTTTAGACCATGTAGATGTATCTGCACACGCTAAGCTAAATTTGTGCTAAATTTACCCAACGTTGAGTGAAAAAGTATGACTGAACAAGTGGCTAAAATAATTTGCGAAACGGTTGGATAATTTAACATAATGGTTGTGTCGTCCTCTCTTTTTTACTGAACCCTATGTTAATTTAGCACAGCTTTTATTTACCTCACTAAACGGATTGCATAAACCTTTTCCAAATTCAATAAAGATAACTAAATCAATAACTGGAAAACCTCCTCCTCGAGTAGGATGAGGACGGGTACTCAAGATTTGCATATTTATGTATCTTTAATCGTAAGATGCCTGTTGGGTAATAAATTTGAGGATGGTAATTTAATTTTATCATGCCGATGCTGTAACATAGGCAGAAAAAATGTTCAACCAGCCAGAATCTTGGAATTCTGTTGACAGAAGAATAAGTGTCTATAAGGTATTTAACACAGAAAGGATAAATAAATACTGATCAATTGTGCACACATGGAACCATTGTAAAATATGAAATTCATCGTTTAATTCAGGCAGAGGATTGAGTGAACATGATTCTATACTAAAATGTAAAATAAGTAAATACATAGGTATATACATGAGAACATATGTAGATCCTGCGGTATGAATACTTTTTTTACGCGACTGTCACCGTTATTATGCAATTCTACCGCGTTGGTAATAATTTATCACCCAAGGGTAGCATGCTTATATGCGGAGAGTAAATCTGTAAGTTGCCTTCGAATCGGTGAAAATAGGTTTTGGCCAAGAAGTTCAGTAACTCCGAACCAGCGTGCAACCTCTTAAATATTTGTATTTATTATTCTTACCATTTACTTACACCCGGTAGACAAAAGTATTGGTTGTTTTTTAGGTCACATCTTCATATGCATGTAAAACCTTCATATGTTACTGATATTGGTCAAATTTTTTCTCGATGGCACACAACTTCATTACCTTCAAAATAGGGTATTTGAACATTCTAACATTCAAGTATTTTTGACACAATTAATTACAAACCATTAGAAAACGTGTGATGGAGTCGGTCATAAGTATTGGTCATTTCAGTTTTCACTGTTATAACTTGAAGATAAACTTACATATCCGACATGTAAACTAATTTTTTAATTCAATACTTCTTTGCTGTTAGATTTAAATCATTTGCGGATAAAAAATTATGAAAGTGCTGGAATTGGACATTGTCAAATGTGAACAGAAACGAGGTGTCTACACAGAGGTTGAAGTGCTCACGGATTTTTACCAAAACTTCCATCTGAAAATAAAAAAACTGTAAATGTGACCAAAACAAGACCAGAAACAGGTTTGGTCGCTAATAAACCATAGTCTGGACATATGAACGTAACAAAACCACGCTAGAATACGAATATTGTGAATATTTCTACAGCTGGTTATGAAATCACTGCCCTGAATCGGATCAAAAACGTAAGTACTTAGAAAAGCAGTAGTTTACCTCGAAGCTAATTGGTCGAAGATTGTCTGATGCTTATTTGAAGTTTAAACGACTGCCACAAAATAAGTTAAGTACCAGGAAAGCAAATATCAATAATTTGAGATGGTCAAATTTAAAACCATACCTGAATAATTAAGTGTTGCTTTAAGGTACGTTACCTAGATGAAATTAAATTTCATCTTTTTTAGGAACAATGGGTCCAGGTTGACTAGGTGACGGCCAGGAAATGAAGCAAAAAATTAATTCCTACATAGCACAGTGAAAAATCAACAAGACGATGAATTTGCTAAGCTTGTTTTTGTTTATCATTACTAATACCCATTCCTAACTTTTGATGTCCCCATATGATTTCGAGTTTAATGACCTAAATTTGTGTAGATGGACCCCCCAACTTATCTAAAGCAAAAAACATGAAGTCCACATCCATTTTCGTACAAAAGGTTTAAACCAATCAGTACAAGATAGTTATTTCTGAACTTATTTACGCTATTGTGAAATGATTACCCAAGCATATCGCCCAGGTGGCATAGTAATGCGTTCAAACCTTCAGACCTATATGTTATAGAACATTTAATATGGTCCCCCTGCAGATTGAAAAATTAGCGAGCCATTACAACAAAATTCTTTGACAAAAACACACTACTGTGCATAATGGTAGTGAGTTGGCGAATTTTTCGAGCAAAAGTGACAGTCAACATAAGTTAATTTAATTTCTAATATTGGGAATGCTTGGCCATCAAATATAACAAAAGTTGCTGCTGCCACAAATTTCCATTTTGAATATTAATTATGAATTTTGAGAGTGACCAATACTTATGACCGACTCCATCACACATTTTCTAATGGTTTGTAATTAATTGTGTCAAAAATACTTGAATGTTAAGATGTTGAAATACCCTATTTTGAAGGTAATGAAGTTATGTGCCATCGAGAAAAAAATTGACCAATGTCAGTGACATATGAAGGTTTTACATGCATATGAAGATGTGATGTATAAAAAACGACCAATACTTTTGTCTACCGGGTGTATGTTAAGGGAAAATAGCTTATTTATTATTTTCCAATTTCAGACTGGCTTCCTAAATAATTATATAAAATACTAACTCATACCCTGTAAACTGTATTTCTACTCAAAATATTAAAGTTTTATTACTCTAATATCTACGTACATTCATTAATTCACATCAATAATTAAAAAAAAGAAAGACGTTTTTGATTAATTTGATTTGGTCATCGATCGGGTTTCGTGGGGTATTACATATCGTTCTTACTCAGAAAGCTTAAAATTACATTCAGCGTTGGCAAACCCTAGCTTTGTTTTCCGGAGCGGTTTGATACAAAGTAACTAGCTGTAATTTATATGTAAAGCGTAACAGCTTGATCGGTAAAACGACAGATTTGATATTTTACAACAATACACACGTTACCTTGCCGATCCCTATTCCTAAAGAAGTGTCATGTTAGCAAACAAATTATGGGAATAATTTCCAATCTAGCTTCTCTCTTGAGGAGCATTTCACACCAAGAATTATGAGGCTTCCATCAGGCAATATCTGGTATCCATTAGGCAGAAAGCTTCGTCATATACCACAGTCACCCATGTCGTTGTCGAAAGTACCCTCTGGGTCCAAACCCTCTCGCTGGTCATCGATGATAAAAAATATATCCGTCCTAACACATCAAGATGGGTAGTCGTTAAAACTATCTATGCCATCGGATCTATCCTGCTTCAGCTGATCCTGATATTGAAATGGTTTAAAGTTCCGACATCAAATTCGACTGAACATGTATTCATAGATAGTTGGAAACAAATCCTCATGACGTTCTTTCTCGTCATGTTTATAGGAACTTGTTTTGGCCTGCTGCAACAGTTTCGTGTCCCGAGTGAAATCGCGTGCGTTTTGAATTGTTCGAACTATTCGGAAAGGAACCATCGGGGAAAAGGTTCGTAAAAATTTACATTAAGAACTACTGGATCCTGTTCGACTGGATTAATAATTATTGATCCGACTATATACCTATCAATAAACGTTACAAAACTTACTGTTTGCATTTCTTATAAGCTACAGAATATTGATCTCACAAAATATAGCCAGAATGGGCAAAAAATATTATATTTTGCAAGAAAAGTAATTATATTGAATAAATGTTCTTGTTTAGCAGAAAATTATGATTTTGCCATTTGTTCCACAGCATTCTAACTCCTTTTTTAAATAGTCACATTCCTTGATTTCTGTACGCGCAGTCTGTTATTTTTTTAACTTTCACATTTGTGACAAATGTATAGATATTTTAAGTGTTGTGTTGGTAGGCAAATCATTTGTCTACCAACACTAAAAATCATTTAATAATTATGTATAGCAGTAAACATTTGTACTTTTACATAGGTTCCCCTGGTCACGTTCCGCACTATTTTATTGGTTTGACGCTCCTCGCCATCATAACAATTACAGCTGCACCAGCCACTCTTTTCGTCACTAGTTTCGTTAAACCTTGCATGCCACCTTCCTTCTTCACCATGGCTCTATTGCCGTGCAACGATTGGAACGACACACCAGGGCAGTTTTTGGTAAAGGCGGTACAAGCGCTCGTGGCAGTCTACACTGGTCTAGTTGTGTTCAGCACGACAAT